ATATATATATATATATATATATATATATATTTCTTTTTTTTTTTTGAAAGGTGACTCCACTCTATTTGAAACACTCTGGCATTTAAAACATTTAAAAACAATTTAAAAAATAATAATATTTAAAAAAAAATCTAACTACAGATTACAACAATTAGAGGGCAGAATAAAACATTAAATTACACTAATGTATTTTCAGCATTGAAAACACCATGCTATAAAAAGTATCCTCATAATGTGCTTCAGCTTTAAATAATGTTGAATGTCAGGGTTTATCGTGACAACATGCTACACCATCGGGGCAAGTTGTCACTGAGGTAAATGAACTGTACAATTTTTCCCAGCCTATAACAATGGAAATGTTCAATGGTGTTTTATACACAAGTATATAAACACTGACACAAACAAAATCACCCTGAGAAATATTCACTGGCGCAAACATTGTGACAACTAGCCCCGGTGCTAATTATACAATGCAACTTGCATCTTCTACCAGCTCTTAGCAACTGTTTTTAACCATATGTGACCCTAGACCACAAAACCAGTCTTAAAAGTTTTAGTAATTTTTTACGTACTTTTGTCCTTTTTATATATATATTTTTATATTTAAATTTAGCTTTAAATGTATTTATTTTTATTATTATGAGATTTTGTAATTTTAGTAGTTATATTTCAGTTAGTTGCCATTCCAACATTTATAATACATTGTCATCTGTTTGAACTTTCAGGATGTGCTTCCTCAGGTTTCCGAATATTAAAACAATAACTTTAAAATGTGCTGCCACTCAAAGCTTATTTGGTTTGTTAGCTGAGACCGTAAAGTCAAATTTTTTGACTTCATGGCCAATATATTAATGTTACAAACATATATTATTAAGGTTGTTTTGTCTTGATTTTCAAGTTGGACTTAAAATGAAAGTGCTAATATTCTATTATTATTCTGAAAAATATTTAATTTTATTAGAATAATTATTCATATAATCTGACTGTCAAAATAAGTAATCAAAGAGCTGTGTTGTTAAATGCATTACATGCTAAAAAGTGACAAGTGGAATAGATTACTCCTTTCAGAATTCAATCAGAGCAGATATGGCAGCCAGTGCTTAAAAGTTGCAATCTATTACAATTTATAAGTTATAATCTATTACAATTTGAAAATAAATACACTTTTTATTACGAACCTGACATTATTAACATATGGGAAAGGAGTAACTGACACAGTACCTTCATCTGTGCCATCCATGATTGACACACTGTCTGGTCTATACAGGAACAAGGATTCGCTAAACACCTCCCTCACCTACGGCAAAAAGACTTTAGATTTAACTCTGCATGACATTACAGATACTGAAACCTGCGCCATAATTAGGAAATACTAAGTCGACAGGCTGAACATTAAATGCCTGAAGACATAGCTCTCATCTCTATAACTTTAACACACTTCTATAATACTTACTAAACCTTTAATGAATATAAATAATTAAATAAATAAATAATAGATTTTACTCCACCCTTTACAGTTTACTGTTGCTTTGGAACTTTGCATCACAGCATTTCTAATGTTACCGTGTCATTTAACACCTCCCAAATTGGGTTGTACTATTAAAACCTCTGACAGATTAATAAATGTGAATGCATTTCAGACGCCTTAAAACCTTAGTAATCGTATGCATTTAGTTAACTGAAAGCACTATCCATATGTAACTGTTAGAGGGTATATAATGAATGTTTACTTGGCGACTAATGGTTATCTGACCTTGTCCAGCAGAATTGTGGCCTTCTCACCAGGCAGCAGTCTGAGCCCTGCCGTGGCTCTGAGCATGAGAGGGGAAGAACTCCATAATCTGTCAGGAACAGTGTCTTTAGCAACTTTTAACAGTTCCAAAAGTCCCTCCTTACTCTGTAAAACAACATTAATATAATCATTAAACTGCAGACAGAAAAGATACTATCACAAACCTGAGGCATCTGTGATGGGTTCACAATTATAAAACTTAATCACATTTTACTGGTTACCTTTTCTGGGTCATCAGCATATGCAGACAGTCCAGGTTTTATAGCTCTAAAAGTCTCATGGGCTAATTTAGCAGCTTCTGTTAATACACAAAGACAAGCAGAAAAGTCTTCTTTTTAAAAACATCTTTTAAAAACAAAGTTTTGAAAGGTAGTGTATATAACAGTAACATTAATTGCAGTAGGAGGACTCCTCATGGCTTGTGGCGAGTATGGTTGGATTTTATCAGAGGCTGAAACATTTGTTTATTATGTAAACTTTGGTATAAGTGTGACCTTTGACCCATGATGCTTAGCTATGATGTGTACATGCATGTGTGTGCATGAGAGAGTGTGCCTAATGGCATAGACTACTTGCTGTCTATTATAACATGACAATTATAATATGATAATCATAGGTTTAACAATAAAGGCTAAAGCAGCACATAACTGATTTAGCTCAGAATTGGGATTCGAATCGATAGTTAAGCTATTAGACGATCAGTGCTGCACTAGGCAGTAAACCTAAAATATGTGCATAACGCCCACACAGTCAACATATGCATGGCTTTACTATAGTAACACTATGGTATTTGGCAGTAAGGTAACTTAATAAATAATTAGGTGAGTAAGCATTACGGCATTTCAATGACAGCCACAACTGTCAAAATATGTTTTGGCTACTAGTTTTCAAATACCAGTTTGTTTTTTTATAAATAGTTAAATTGATCTAACCAGCCAATACAAAAAATTACCACAGTATTTCCTCCAAAATACTATAGCTATATTTATTGAAACTACTATAAAAACATCATAAATTATTATGATTTTTTTTTTTCAATTAATTTTACCATTTACCAATGACTTCATGTATTTTGGTGGGAAATATTACCATAGTAATTTACCATAGTGCTATTTTATTATTGTTTATAAACTATTATAGTAATTTTTTGTGCTTTTGTCCTTTTTTATTATTTTTTAATATTTCAATTTAGCTTTTTATTTTTATTTATTTTATTTTTATTTTTTTTTATTTTAGTTTTTCATCTAACATTTACATTTTAATTTATTTCAGCTTGTATCAATTAACAAAAACCATTTTTAAGTTTTATTTAATAATAATAATAATAATAACACTGCATGCTAGTTTGTTGTATATAGTGTACATATTTGAAGTTACCAGACTACAATTACAGAAGAAAATTCTGAAGTCATTGTTATGAACAAGCTTTTGTTATGTTGAACAGGCCGAAAATGCGGTCTTATATGCAGTGTTTCTTTAAGTGGACTGAAATGGACAAGTGGACTCAAATACCTTTTACATTTTAACATACCATTTGGCTCGATCTGAAATTTGAAAATGTGAATCCGGGTTCCAGTGCTCCCAGCATCAAGCATAATACCATACTGGAAATTTTCACTGACCACCTGAGCTGAGGTCGACTGTTTATGGGTATCCATCCTATGCTGGGGCAGCTGGTCAGATACTGGTGGTTTGGAGTCATCATAATGACGTTTGACGTAGGTGAGGTAGACCACCAGGCAGCCCACAAACATAAAGATGAAAGCTAGCTTTGGGAACCTCATAATGGCAGCCAGAGTTACATGATGTGGAGTCAATTTCCCAATGCAGCAGGCTTCTCGGCCTTCTCCACTACCTCCAGAACAAGAAAAACATTACAAAAAGGAGTTTTAATTTGCTATAAAACCACAAGTCTGAAATATCACCCACCCAAGTGAAAACAATGTTGTTTTACTTACAGCTAACAAAGATTTACATGTTTAACAAATCCAAAACATATTTACATACCTGTTCTCACATAACCGTAAATATGAGAAAAGAAATATATATATATATCACAAATACACTTATATTTTCCACCACAACTATGGTATGTCAAATTCATCACACAAATTGTAAATAACTGTTAGGGATTTGTAAATAATTTCCCTAATTTTCAGCAGTTCCTACTAGAACCTAGCAACACCTGAAAAACAGCTGCTGCATTTTATGTAACGTTATGCGTTATATGAAAAATACGGTTATTTTGTCAACACTGATTTTCTGACTGTGATGACAGTTCAATATATAGATATGTATGTAAGCTATTCATTTAAGTGAATTCTCGATTTGCCAATATTTATAATCAATATTTGACGCATTATTTTTGTATCTGTCTGTGTCGTATTGGGCGATAAGCACACACACTAACGTTAAGTGAGAAAATACAAACTAGAGATGCACCAAAACAGGTATGGTGAGCATATTAATCCAAAATAATTACTTTATACTTTACTTTTACTTTATTTAAATTAACTTAAGCCTCGTTTCTCAAGAGTAGTGTGAGAATGGATATCAATCTCAGTATTATGAGTCAATGTAGTTATATATTTAAGACGGTTATACCTAGCTCTCTGTGGCAAGATCATACTCCTTCGAATGCAAGTCGTGTTTTCGGTGTCGATGAATACCCATGATGAGATTCTTCTTCTTATATCTTTCAGGCAGTGTAGACGCTACTGGGCGTATTACTGCCATCCACAGGTCAAAGTTTGAACTAAATTCTTATATACAGTTGCAAGAACTGCAAGAACTGAAGAACTACCTCAGAGATCAGTTTATGTTTATCACTGTGTCCAAACAAAGAAAACACTTTATACCTCAGAGATCAGTTTATGTTTATCACTGTGTCCAAACAAAGTAGTAACAGAAAACACTTTAACTCCAAATTCTGCCAATTTATCAAAAAGTGCTTTTCTTTCTCCATTATACTTCCTACATTCCAAGAAAACATGCCCTACTGTTTCCATATTCCCACATTCACATAATCCAGAAATATGCTTTCCTACAATATACAAAAAGTAATTTAACCCACAATGCCCCAACCTCAATCTACATAGTTGTCCTTAGTCCTTACGAGATGGACAAGTACAAAAACATCTTTTCTTAACTTTAGGTTGAATAGACATCTACCCTTGACCCTTGACTTCCTTTTCCCATCCTCTCTGCCATTCTTTTATTAAGCCCTCTTTAACTCTTTCCCTCAGTTCCACCCTCCCCAAGGATACATGGATATCTATTTCTCTACCTAAGCTCTCCTTCGCTATATAATCTGCCTGCTCATTCCCTGTCACCCCAGCATGCCCAGGCACCCAACAAAAAGTGATATTGCAAGCAAACCCAACTCTAAAAAACACACTCAAGATGTCATTTACAATATCAGATCGAACTTTAGATTTTCCTGCTCTTAAAGTTTCCAGGGCTGCTGCAGAATCAGAACAGATAACAACTTCTTTCGGTCTGACTTCTTCAATCCACCATAAAGCCCATAAAATTGCCATCAACTCAGCAGTAAGAACAGAGCTTCCATTCGAAATACGTCGACCGATTTTCAACCCTAGTTTCTCCACATACATACCAAACCCTGCTCTCCCATTAATTGGATCTCTACACTCTAAAAAATGCTGGGTTGTTTCAACCCACAGTTCCACCCTCCCCAAGGATACATGGATATCTATTTCTCTACCTAAGCTCTCCTTCGCTATATAATCTGCCTGCTCATTCCCTGTCACCCCAGCATGCCCAGGCACCCAACAAAAAGTGATATTGCAAGCAAACCCAACTCTAAAAAACACACTCAAGATGTCATTTACAATATCAGATCGAACTTTAGATTTTCCTGCTCTTAAAGTTTCCAGGGCTGCTGCAGAATCAGAACAGATAACAACTTCTTTCGGTCTGACTTCTTCAATCCACCATAAAGCCCATAAAATTGCCATTAACTCAGCAGTAAGAACAGAGCTTCCATTCGAAATACGTCGACCAACTTTCAACCCTAGTTTCTCCACATACATCCCAAACCCAGCTCTCCCATTAACTGGATCTCTAGACCCATCTGTAAAAATTATTATACTACTCTGATTAACTGAATTAAGATATACCACTATTCTTGGTATCACCTCCATCTTATCTTTTTCCTGAAGAAAAGCAAACTCAACTTTCAACTCAGGCATCACCCAATATGGCATAGGTAACCATATGCTCTGCAATACCTCCCTTTTCCAATTCCATCTTCCTAGCCCACTGATTTACATTAACAAAAATATTATTATATTTCCTACTTCCAACAAACTCTTGCAACAAACACCTTGCTGGATATGTATAATTACATCCTCTAAGTTTTACCCAGTACTGTAGTCCTAATTTAATACGCCTTAACCATAAGGGCATTTCTCCCATTTCAATAAGCAAGGCTGAAACTGGGGAAGTTCTGAAGGCCCCACAACAAATCCTCAAAGCCCTTGTTTGCACTACATCTAACCCAGGGATGGGCAACTTTGATAGTGACGAGGGCCAGCATTTTTTTTCCTTTATACCAAGGGGCCAGATTACTAATCCACGTCCACACACCTTTTACACCGTCTTACTCAGTTTCCTTTTTATTGAAGGAAATTAAAGTATAACTAATGTAATTTGTTTTTAAAGATTTTATTAAGTATAAAACTTGTGCAGTTATGCTAAATTTGTTTTTAAAGATTTTATTAAGTATACAACTTATGCAGTTATGCTAATTCAGAAGGAAAACTTTGTTGTCAGTGGACAGAAATATTACCCTGACAAGCCAATGTAAACATTTCAATTGAGTTGTCTGTAAATTTGCAACAAACAAATATACAGGGGTCCTTTTGTTTATTAGTAGCCTACAGAACATTCTCAAAACAACCTAAAAGGACAGTTAAAAAGGAATACATTTTTTTTTTTAAATAGTTATTCCAAATGGTACCATAAAATAACCTGGTATCTGTAGGATTTTTTAAATCAAATTTAAGACCTTTAAAGACCTTTTTAAG